GACCCTCCACGGGGGGTTTCAGTGATGTTCGTGCCGGGGATTTGGCCTGAGCCAGGGTTTTCACCCAGCAAGCCTCACGCCCCGCCACCAGGACTTCACTTAGGTGATAAAATAAGAACCACAGCCGACTTGTAAGTCATCTCCTAGGGGAGCCTAAAAAAGTGCCTTTTCTAGTTTTTAACCCTATTTATTTGACTTTGTGTTTGACTTTGCACTTGACTTTGCACGGGGTCAGGCCTGGGATGTTCCCAGAGCCGATGTTATCTCCTTAGGAGAAGTCCAAGCAGGGGCTGGCTGCTCGTCCCCCCCCCCCGACATCTCCCAGCCGTCCCCAACCTCGGCCTCCCCGCAGATATTATTGCAAGGGGAGCACCGGGCCATAAAAGGCAAATAAAGCAGCTCAACAGGCGCCGGGTGCCAGCAGCCGGCATCCAGCTGCGGGAGCCGGGCACGGACCGGCCCTTCCAAAAAGGACCGGTTGTGCTTTACCATCGGACCGTGAGAGAGAGCCTCCAGCTGCAAAGAGACCCCTCTGGCTGCAAAAAGACCCTCTGAGTGCTGGCACCCTCCAGGCAGCTGGAGCTGCCGAGTTTTTCCCGCAGTTTTCAGTGACAGGCTCCCACCTCAGCGCCTCGGTGAACTCGGCGGGGCTGTGTGTGCCGGCCCCCGGCTCGCCGAAGTAGCCGTATTTCTCCAGGAACAGCTGCAAGAAGAGATGGGAGAAGTGCAGCTCAGAGCTTGTGGGTGGCTTGGGAACGGGGGAAAAAGGAGATGCAATGGCAAACAGTGCTGCAAACCCAGGGCTGTGTGAAATTCCCGCTTAGTTTTTTCCTGAGACCTCTGCACCTCAAGCAGCCGCACCTCCTGTGCCCGTACAGGTTTATGTGTGACTCCACCCCATCATTTTTGATGGCTCTTGGGGTTTTTGGCCATGACACGACGGAGGCGTAGGAGGAAACATTGCATCAAGAGATCAAAACACTCTGCTGCCGTGTCATCCACGGCCAGAGGCGACCAAACCCACAGCTCTGATCCCCTCAGCTCAACGCAGTGATTGAAATAAAGGCTAAAGCGCTGTGGACACGAGGAGGGTGGGGTGAGATGGGGTCAGGCTGCAGCCTCCCCCCATCCCCACGCAGGATGTGCTGCTGCGAAGTGGAGACACGCTGGGGGCAATCAGCTCTGCCAAACCATTCTTCTTCTTATCGGCCATTGACACGGATGGAGGTTGTCTCTCTGAACTTGCTCCAACACTTAAATTGTATGTTAAGGAAAATAAACGGCTTCCCTCGGCTCAGGCTGCTCCCCAGCTCTCGGAGAAGTTAATAGCCGGGGTCACAGGAATGCTCCACACCCGCCTGCCCCGCGGGGGATGTCTGCGGGAGACAAACAAGCTGCCCAGCATCCTGTTAGTGCAGCAGAGTCGGAGGAGTTACAGTAATGAATAACAAGAAGAATAAAAAGTGAAAGTGGTGGCTTCCTTTCCCCGTATCCCAAAGGAGAGGTGTGAGGAGCAGCAGGAATGCCATGGGCTGACCCGGACAGCACGGCCGATGCCCTCCGGGAAAACGTGTGTTTTTAAAGCTGCTTCCCTCCCTGCTCATCTCAGGGCAGGGAAAAGGGGGTTGGGATGTCAACCTCAACCCAGTCCCCCTGTGGAGGAGGCAGCATCCCTTCCTGGGCCTGTCACCTGGCAAGGAGCAGGAATGGCTTATGGACATGGCAGTCCTTAGGTGTGCCAGGGCCTCTTCTTCTCCTTCTCCTGCCCAAACCTTCTGCTTACCACTAACAGTCATCTTCACATCACCCCCAAACACGTCACCCCTGCACCTGCCACCTCCCCACGGGCAGGGCAGGCACGTCCCTGTGTGCTCCTGCAGACCTTATCTCCTCCAGGTGCCGAGCTTGATCTCCTCTCTTACACCCCTTCTACCTGGAGGATCCCCCTCTGGCTGCAGCACAGCAAGGACTGGCACAGCTTCCTGCTGGGACACGCTCCTCACCCAGCCCAGAGGAAGAATTTGGCCATTTTTCCCATCAAAGGCCATTTTTCCCTCTTGGCTGGAGGCACCAGCAGCTCCTTGCAGCACCAGGCTGCAGCAGTGAGAGCCCAGTGTGGCCAGAGCCACCCAGACCCCCCACACCTGGTCAGGTGAGTCAGGATAAATCAGGCACGATCAAGGGCTGTGCTGGCAGGTGAGAGCATCGGCTTGTTCACTGGGGGAAGCCACAACACCTCTGCCCAAGGATGGACTGTACAGCCTGGACATGCAATCCTCCAGCCCTAACTCCCCACTTTATGTGGGTACCAGGAGACAGAATACATTGGCAACTCAGGATGAGGACACAGAGAAGGAGGATATGGGGATGAAGGAACCTCCCTGGGGATGGGGTGGCTTGGAGTCCTAAGAGAGTAATCTGGAGAGGAGAAGGTGTCTCGCTCTCTTCCTCTGCCTTTGTGTTTTTATAAAGTTCTCCTCCAGAATTAGAAAATCCCCAGCTACATATATGGGTGCAGGGTGATGATCCCAGTGGTGACATCACCACAGACAAATGTGAGCTGAGAAGCACAAGGGCAGAAAATCCCGGGTCTCAAATCACAGCATGGCCTAAACTTTTTCTACCACACATTTGCTTTCACTCAGCACCTAAAACAAAACAACCTGAAGCTGTTTCCTCGCCTGTAACCCAACACAGTCCCATTCATAAAGCATGAAAATGGTTTCTCCCCACCATGATCTCATGAAGGCTTGAAATCCCATCTGGACAAGTCAGGGTGCCCAGCAAAAAAAGCAACTGGTGTCAAGCAGCTGCTCTTGAGCAGCACCAAGAGGCACACAGGCCACTGGCTTTATCATTCCTGCCCAGATCTCTTTGGGCTTTGCAAATCCAACCAAAGCAGCAGTTTCGGTGTGGTTTCTGGTCTGTGTCACATGGAGGTTCTCACACACAGCCACCAACTCTCCAGCTGCAAAATCATCAGGAGAAATTTTATTAAATTTTCCAGACACACCTACTGTCAGTTAAGGGTGATGGTAGTCCTGGAAACACAAAGCTACAGGAGAGGGATGTGCTGATCCTCCACTCTGTCAGGTATTTATCAGAGCACAGACCATACAAAGCCCCCCGGACCGGAGAGTTTTCAGGGTGCAGGGGAACCCAAGAGCCTCATGCCACAGTATCCTGTGATTGAACCAGCACTCAAGACCCCCTCCAGCACTGCACAACCCCCCAGAGCCCAGCCAGGCTCTGGCAGGGCTGGGTGGAATCCAGCACCAGCCCATTAAACCTCCCCAGAGACAGCAATGCAAAGCCTGGCCATGCTGGGAAAACCCCCTCCCTCCTGCCCTAGATGGGGAAATGCTCTTTTCCATACAATGGGAAAAGAAAAACAGCAGGAAACCAAGAGCTGAACATTAATATGAAATATGGCCAGCTCCCCCTCCAGATGAGGGAGGGAGAAGAGGACAGATCTGGCTGCCTGGGAGCCAGTGCTGGGGCAGAAAAACCTTTGGAGCTGCAGCAGGGACAGCGGGAGGAGAGTCTTGGGGAGATGGATGGGCTGTTCCCATCTCAGGGCTCTGATGTGGAGCCTGTTACAACCCTGGAAATCATCTCTGCTGAGAGCTAAGCCAAGGAAACACCTTGCCCTTCGACCACAGGCATCCCAGGTGGAAGGCAGCCAACAGCAAATACAATTAGTCCTCCCTCCCTGGAAACCGGGATAACACGAGTGCGGAGACAGCAGGCTCCGGTCCTGCCTGCTCTCCCCTCCTGGGGGAACTTCTGGCTCCTTTCCACCAGCTAAGTACCAGAGAAGCCTCACACTGGGCTCCTGCTGAACATGGTCCCTCTGCTCTGCCTGGTACAAACCTCGTCTCTCCCCTCCATCCCCTGGCAGCGGAGGGAAGCGATCCCATCCTGCTGAAGGGTGGGCAGGAGCTTCATGCTGTGGTTACAGAGGATGCCTGTCTCAAGCTGCACCTCAAAAGTCTTTTGTTTTTAGTCATGAAATGGCAGCACCCCACCAAGGCAGCCCAGGTGTGTCCTCAGCCCTCGTCCCAGCAGCCCCAGGCTCCATCCTGCATCATCTCACCACCAAGATGGGCACGGTGGCTCCCACTTTTCATCCTCAGTTTCCCCCTGTACAGACACGAGGACAGCTGACTCCAGAGCATGTTTTGGCCTGGTCACAGAAGAAGCAGGGGCTCCTCCTGCCCCCTGAGTCGCTGCTGCCTGGGAGCTGCCTCCAGAAGATGTCACAGCAATTAAAAACGCTCATTTGCTTCCACTCTCCCAAGCCACATCCCTGCAAACCCTCAGGCAGAGTCCTTGCGCCTCTTTTGTTTAAGTGTGTGTACAAGTATCTATATAAATATTATATCTACGGGCATAGAGAGACACATAAGAAGGGAGATTAGCGAGCACAGAGCTTGGTTGCCCTCCTGCCGAAAAGGCAGCAAAACCTCAGCTCATTCTGTGTGTTAGTGACAGAGGGTGATTAACGCCCCAAACCCCTCCGGCTGCTGGGATGCTCCCCTGCTGTGCCTAATTGGTCCTGAGGGAATCTCCTCTCCCACCTACCCCTCCTGAAAATCTACTTTAGCAACAAAATATCCACTTGCCACTGAAGAGGTGGGTCTTTTAAGTTCCTTTTATTTTCACACTCGACCTTGTGGAGCCGAGGGACAACAAGCCAGGACTGTATCAGGTCTGACTAAAACCACTCCTGGTTTCAGTAACCGGTTGGGTGGGGCTCGGAGCAAACTGGTCTAATGGAAGGTGTCCCTGTCCATGGCAGAGGGTTGGAATGAGATGAGCTTTAAAGTCCCTTCCAACCCAAAACATTCTATGATTCTGTCATAATTCACTGGGAACCCCCAGCTTTGCCCCAGCACCCCCACACCTGACGCCGACGGGCTGCACCGCCCACCACAGCTCCAGCAGCACCAGAACCCCTGAGCGCGACCCAAAGCTTGGGGAAAACAGGGAAAAAACACTGGGCTTGGCCAAACCTTCCCCTGCGAATACCAGAGCGGCTGACAAACCAGTTTGGTCACGCAGAGACTGGTTGTGCTTTCATGTCTAAGGAGAGAAAGGAAACCAGACGGTCGGTCTTGCCCCTCCACCGGGGTGGGAACCGGGGGAGACGCGACGTCCCCGCTGCCGCCGCCGCGGCCCCTTGCCCGGCGGGCGATGTTTGCCGTAACAAGCGGGGATTGTTTTGGGGGAGAAGCAGGAAGAAAGCAGGGCTGTTGGCGCTGCGGTGACTCACGGGGCTGTAAATCACACCGGGGGATTGCCGGCTGACTCGGAGCCGCTCGCCACATCCGCGCTACCGGCGGCGGCTCAGACAGGAGACCTCACGGGTGCTGCGTGTCCACGCAGAGCCCAGCGATGCCTCACAGGGGTGATGCCTCCTCCTCCTCCTCCTCTCCCCCGCTCCTTCCATTGCCATGCCGAGGCTGAACGGCAGGAATTTTTCACAGCAAGAAGAATTTCTTCCCCTTATTTCAGAGGGAAGATGTGGGGTGCCCCGGGAGCACGCAGGGGTCCCTGCTGACCTCCCAGCCCCACCATGTGCTGGGTGGTACCCAGAGACCCTCGCTCCATCCAGGCTGTGTTCAGCATCCAGCATCCCAGCTGGATGCTCCTTAAAGGAGCTCAGCCGGACACTGGAGCATTTCTCGGCACAAACACAGCTCGGAGTCCTAAATGTAAGTCCTTGGGTGGCTGAGGGGGAAAACACACAGGCCATGAGCAAGATAGGAAGGAGGAGTGCAGGATAGGGGGAAAAAAATGAAAAAAAAAAATCCTAAATGAGAATGTCCCAGTCCCAGAGTCTTGCTCTCCATTCCCATTCACTGCCTTTCCTAATTTCCCCCCTATTTTTCTTCCCACTGCAACAGACCTGTAGCTTCTCACACAAATCTCTGCAGATTGTCCTTTGTCCTTGGCACCACCAGCACCTCGCTGTGCTCCTCACTCCCAACACAGGCTGAGATCTCCCATGCCCTCTGTATTTTACACAGTTCCCCCGGGATCAGAGAATCTCGGGCATTACCACACCCCAACTGCTGCCTGAGCACAGCCCAGGCAGACAACGTGCTCTCTCACATCAGACCCTCTCCTATCTGGAGCCTGCAGATGATAAGATGATTTAAACGACAAATGTTTCAAATTAAATTTCCCAACTTTCCTTCTTTTTTTCTTTTACCTTTTTTTTTTTTTTTTTTTTTTTTTTTTTTGTTTTTTTTTTGGTTTGGTTGAAAAATCGGTCCTTAGCCCGAAAAAAAACAAACTTT